TCAAACTTCTGTCCTGGTCTACCGCCCATCGCGTGCTCTGCTCTGCCCCCTGGGTTCAGAATGACTGGGGGTGCGGTGCAGACAGGGTGTGTGAGACCCACATGGAGGGGCCGGTTCTACCCTTCCCTGGGTGTCAGACAGCCATCTCCGAACTCAAAGAGAGATCCCGTGGCTTTTCAGAAAAAGACAGCCACCAGTGGGGGCCGAGGGAGACCCCCCTCCCCTGTCTGGATCGGCAGAGGCCACGGGGGCATCCAAGGAGCCCGGCCACTGAGGTCTGAGCAGCCAAGGGCTTCCCAGACCACAGAACAGGGCAGAGGTCAAGGGACTACGTGACTGAGGGGCTGCTGACCATGACTGTATGCTTAATGCTTTGTTTGGCTCCAGCCCCAAAGAGGAAGAGAAGCTCTCTCAGAGGGGTGGGGAACCTCCGCCCGTGGGCCACGTAAGACCTGTGTCAACCAGCCACGTCACCCGCCTCACGGAAGCACGGCAGCCCATCACGTGGCCTCAGACAGCACGCTGACTCTCGGGACCCCCCGGAGCAGGGTAGAGCTCGCTCTGTGGGTTTCTCAGACTGTTCCTCTGGACAGGAGTAGATAGAACCGTTTTTGTTTGTTGCTTTCCTCCCACAGAGCCGCTGGTGGTTTCGAACTGCTGACCTTGCAGATGGAAGCCCACTGTGTGACCACAATGGCCCTGGGCTGCTGCCCTCCCACAGTCCCCACGCAACCTCCCGGCCATCGAGCAGAAGCTGACTCATCGCACCCCTCTGGGGCAGGGTGGACCCGCCCTGTGGGTTCCTGAGACAGTCACTCTTCGCGGGAACAGAAAGTCTCTCCTTTCTCCCACCGGAGGGCTGTTGGTTTCAAGCTGCTCATGGCACTGTTATCCGTTTGTTTGGCCCGAAGATGAACGTTACCAGTATCCAAATGGCAGAAACAAGCTGCGTGCGCCACCCCTGGCTGATAGGGAGACCCTGAGAGGCCAAAGAGTTGGCCGGGAACCAATCTGAGCGGCATCGGTTTATTCTCAGGGGCTGGCTCCAGCACCCCAGCTGGTTGGATGGCAAAAAGAACCGCTATGGGGGGCGGGGGTTGTGGGGTCTCTTTATACCAGTGACAACGCGGAGGGAGACGGGCTCCCTCAGAGCATCGACACACCTGAAACACCTTGGGCCGATGCTAGGAGCCCTGGTGGCATAGTGGTGATGAGTCAGGCTGCTAACCCCGCAAGGCCAGCAGTTCAAAACCACCAGTCTCTCCTCGGGAGACAGACTGGGCTTTCTACTCCCGTAAAGACTTACAGTCTCTGAAATCCACCAGGCCGGTCCACCCTGTCCAGTAGGGTAGCAGGAGCCGGCATGGGCTTGATGGCAGGAGAACTCTGGGAAAGGGGAAGGAGCAGGCATTCTCAGTGCCTCTGGCTGTGTGGTCGGCACATGTGTTGGGGGGCGGGGGCAAATCCCCCTGGTGGGTCCAAGGACATACAGGGAATGCCTGCTTAGCTGCTGAAGGACGGCCCTTTGGAAGCCTTTACTCCCATCCGCACATTTTCTGATCCTGATCCTGGCCTGGATTCCCCAACACTCACTGCCCAGCAAGACAATGGCGGCTCACAGCAACGCTATCAGACAGCTACAACTGCCCCTGTGGGTTACCGAGAGGGCACTCTTTTTAAAAAAAAGGAAATGAAAGTTTTGTTGCAATCTAATTAGCATAGCGTGCAATTTGACCATTGAATCAAGTCCTATGAAGAAGGCCTGTCCATCATCACTCCATCAACTCTGGAACATTTCTCCCTTATTGTAGCCGCTGCTGCTGCCTTGAGAGAACAACTCGCTAAGAAGGCGGAAAGCCTCGTCTTCCTCCCCAGGTGTGGCTGGTGGTTTCGAACTGCTGCAGATCTTGTGGTTAGCAGCCTAACACGGAGGGCTCCTCACATCCCAGTCACCATGAGCATGGCGCTACAGCGGAGGACAGAACCCAGTGTGTTAGTCTGGGTGGAATAGAGAAACAAGTCCAGGGAGACGCATGTGTGTATAAGAAAGAGCTTTATACAAAAGAGCAATTGTATACTGAGAAATATCCCAGTCCAGATCAAGCCCCTAAGTCCAATATGAGCCCATATGTCCAATACTAGTGTAAGGGTTTTTGGGGCGCGAAGCGGAATTAAAGGTCCAATTGGTAAAGTTTTGAAGCAGGCTTTATTGAGAAGCTTGCGGGCGGGTTCAATAACTCACATATTGAGCTAATGAAACCGCGCGAGGGGAATTTCTGGCTGCGTTTTTATATCCCCTGGTGGCAGGCACAGCTGCATACAGGGACTTCAAAGGGAAGCGCTCATTAATTTTATCTATAGGTCCGGGATGGGTGGAATAAACACATCTTCAAGGGATGCAGGGAAGTGGTCCTTAATCTTATCTATAGGTACCGGGGCAGGTGAAGTAAACATATCTTCAAAGAACATTCTTTCTCAGGGATATCTGGTTCTCAGAACTGGTGATTTTCAGCGAGGGGAGGGGAGGCCGATATGAGGGAAATGAGTTCTGAGAACCAAGAAGGTACCGGATTCAAAATGGAGTCTCTTGTGCCAAGACCAGGCAACTAGTCCATAAATTCCTCTTCAGATTCACGCAGCCATGCAATAATGTTGAATGCAGGAAGATCACAGGCCAGTGGGTGGAAAGTCTTGTGGATCCAGTGGCGGTGGTGTGGGTCTCCACGTGGCTCCTGCAGCTCCAGGGCTCTGGCTCTAATAGCATAGTTCTACATGTCTTGTCAGCAGGGATGTCTTGCAGGGAGGAAGTGTGCACCTGGCCGCCAGGGAGCTATTTATCTCCGTGGTGCCTCCAAATGAGGTCATCAAGCTGCGACCTGATCGACAGGCTATACTCCACTCCTCCGCAAATTGACCCAGATTATGAAACTGCCACATGTAGTCCCCGAGGAGTCGGGTGCTGGTGGCATATGTTGGGTGGATGTCCGTGTCAGGTGAGAGGAGGACGAAGGGTGGAGGCGGGTCTGACCTCTGCCTTGGGTCAGGGAAGAATTGGACTGTCCTTCTTCCTCCTGAAGCCAGAGTGGGGGGGGAGGGTGTCAGTTCTGACCCCAGGCTCCTTCCTTGACCCCTCAGTGTCTCCATCGCCCGGCGACAGGCACCTGTGGTGTCCCTGCCCCTTGGCTGTGGTGAGCACTGTGTGCATGACTGTGAGGCTCCTGCTTCCCCTGGCAGGGATCTCGGAGTGGACGCTGGGGGTCAGCTGGCCATGAGCAGCAGTCGGGCCATTTCCACAGATGTCCTTGTTGTGTTGCTGGCCACTGCCGTCTGTCCCCACTCATAGCACCCCAGCCTGGAACTGCCCCTCGTAGCGATTGCAGCCTGGAGCTCTCTGGGAGGCAGATGGCCAGGCCTATCCTGTGTAGCACCTCAGGGTGGCCTCGAACTTCCGGGCTCTGGCTCAGGACCGAGCTCATGCGTGCACCCCCAGAAGGGATGGGGCGCCTTTGTTTATTCGGTGACGATCTAGGGTGCATCCCCTGGGGGTTCTGCAAGGAGCCCTGGTGGTGTTGTGTGGACACATTGTGCTGCTAACCTCAAGGCCAGCAGTTCAAAATCACCACTCGCTCCTCTGGAGAAAGACGAGGCTTCCTACCTCCATCAAGAGTGACAGTCTAAGAAATGCATGGGGCTGTCTACCCTGTCGTGTAGGGTGGCTATGAGTCAGCCTCGACATGACAGTGGGGCACCGGTGGGCTCGGATGGAGGTGAGAGAAATGAGCTGCGCAGGGAAATTGTGGTGCAGAGAAGAAATAAAGGGGTGGATCGGGGCAGGGCCCAGGTCTCAGGAGGGCTTACTCTGGAGGTGGCATCTGGGACAAAGATCCTGGTGACTATCTAGGTAAGGGCACCCCAGGTGGAGCGCACAGCCTATGCAAAGGCCCTGGGGCAGGACCTGGCCCAGAAAGGTGGAGAAGCAGCTGCGAGGGGGAGGTAGCAACATGGGCAGATGGTTTCAGGTCATGGTGAGCGCCCCGTGGTCACTGGAAGCAGGGGTAGCCCAGCCCAGAACACGTGCAGAACCCCCAGGGGATGCACCCTAGATCGTCACCGAATAAACAAAGGCGCCCCAATATATCAGAGCAGAGCCCCGTGCCCCATCTTCCCACCTCCTATTTTAACTTCACAGACTTCTCCAGCCACTATCTTGTTCTCTATGCTTCTGTGTCTCAACCCTGCCCTGGGCAAGGGGTAATGTCTCGGGTGTGCAGGAGGGGAAGTGGAGGCACGGTGGGGCGTTAGGACTCTGAGTCGAGAGAGTAACTGGGAAATCCCAGCAGCAAGGCCCTGAAGGGGCCAAGAAAGGAGCTCGGGTGGTTAGTGGGTACGCATTCAGCTGCTCGCTCCAAGGGATAAGGATGAGGTTACTTGCGCCTGTAAATTAAAAATCTCGCGATCCCGCGTTCTACTCTGCCCTAGAGGGTCGCTGTGAGTCGGAATCGACTCAATAATTGTGGGTAGTGGGTTTAACAGGTTTCACCTGGCCCAGGTGCAGAGGGCTGCTTCCAAGCATCTTCACAACTCTTCCATAGCAACCTGCTGCCGTCCCCATGGTAACTGGGGCGGGGCCCGACCCCGATCTGCAGGTCCTCTGATCTGACAGGGGCGGGGTGTCTCTTCTTAAACCAGGGTGGGAGGAATCCTCCCGCCTACCCTACTGGCCCTTTAAGAGGCTTCGCCCAGCGAGGTCCACCTCCTCCAAAGACCCCTGATTGGACCCGAGAGAGGACGAGCGCAGCCGAACTTGACGCACCGCCTGCAGCCTTCCCGGCCCCTTTCTTCGCGGCTTCGCGGCCTCTCCAGCCAATCGCTGATCGGCGCGCCGACCTTCACCTGCGTGGTCACGCCCCAGGAGGAGGCCTCATCCAATCCGCGCGCCGTGCCGGGCTTTATTAGCATGCCGGGGGCGGGGCGGGGCAGCCGGCGGAGGCGGGGCGCGGGGCGGTTGGTTGGAGCGTCGCAGCAGCCGAAAGCTCCGGGAAAGTTTCTTTGGAGGTGAAAACAGCCGTGGAACTCTGGATCCGGGCCGGGGTTGGGGGCGTGGGGGTGCCGGGGCTTGGGCGGAGCCTTTCCCGGGCTGGGGTAAGCAGGCCTGGGCCTCCTAGGGGGCGATCGCCCAACAAAGGATCCCGGGGCACCCGCCCTCGAGGCCTCCCCGCCCGG